CAGGTTATTTCTACCCTAATGGCCTCCTTTTTGTCTTGCACGAATCATCGAAGCTTATGCTTGATCGGCTTGGCGGTCGCCGAGATATTTATGGAGTGCTCGATCAGCTCCCGAGGCACGCCAGGCATGTCCGCCGGTTTCCATGTGAACACATCAACATGCTCCCTTAGGAAGCTGATGAGCACGTCTTCCTATTTGGGATCGAGGTCGGACCTGATCCGAGCAGTCTTAGACTAGTCGCTGGGGATGAGGACCACTTCCTTCACCTCCTTAGACTTGGTTGATGCTCGGGCGGCCTCCATGGTTGGGATCTCCAGGTCATGCGGAGAAATTTGCTGCGAAGATGCGAGGCAGTCCTACATGCGGATGGAGATGTTAGTGGCCTCTGCAAGCACGAAGCTTTCCTTGTCACAGGAGTAGGCGACGTCGAGGTTGCCGTGCAGGGAGAGGACCCCTGCTCCATCGATATATTCAACACCAGGTACGTGAAGTGCGGCACGACCATAAACTTGGCGAGAGCCGGTCAGCCAAAGATGACATGGTACACCATGTTGAAGTCGGCAACTAGGAAGTTGACATAGTCAACGCGGAAGTGCTTGGCGGTGTTGAATTGCACAGGCGGTGTAATCTATCCTAGAGGCAGGGATGCTTTTTTGGGAACGATCCCCCAGAACAGAGAGTCCATGGGGGTAAGGTCTTCTTTCTTGATCCCTAGCTCCTCTAGGGACCCAGTGAATAGGATGTTGAGGGCGCTTCCTCCGCCGATGAGGACCTTCTGGAAGCGCACGTCCTTGATGATGGGATCCAGGACGAGTGCGAAGTGCCCTGGGTATGGGATATCCGACCACTGGTCGGCCCTGGAGATGGTGATAAGGTGCTATGACCAATCGAGGTACTTGGGATCAGTGACCGAGCCATCATATGTAGCGACTGACATGACACGTTGGGCTACGAGCTTCTGCTCCCGCTTGTCTTCAGAGATAGCTCTCCCACCAAAGATGGTGGCGATGGTCTTGGTGGGGTCCTAGTAGGTTGGGCCCTTGTTCTTGCCTCGTTCTCCGCCTTAACCATCTTCAGTCTCATCATCGTCACGTCGTGGCTTCTTTGATGATTTGCCACCGAGCGTTGTCTTTAGGCCTCTGCACTCTCGCATGGTGTGCTTGGCATCCTTGTGGATAGGGCATGGGCCATTTAGCAACTTGCCGAAATCAGCGTCGTACGTGCGCTTGGTAGGTGTTGACGGTGTTGATGGAGTTATTAGGCCAGTGATGGCGGCCTTGTCTGACTCTTGAGCTATCCGGGTGGTCGTCACACCGTGGCTCACGATCATCTTAGCAGTGGTCGTGGTTGTCGCTGTAGTCTTGGTCATCACGGCGGCGGTCACGGTCATCGTGGCACCTATCTTCATGACGGTCATCATCGCGGCGTTGGTGGTGAGTGAAGCGGGCAGCCCGTTCGTCTTCTTCGGCATCGGCATATCCGTTTGTTGTTTGTATTAGTTCGCCGATGGTTGTGGGCCTGTTGTGGTACAACTTGCCATAGAGTTGCTCGTGTCGGAGCCCTTTGGTGAAAGCGGCGATGGCCTCACCGTTAGTGATGTTGGGAACGAAATTTCTTGTCTCCGAGAAGCACCTGATGAAGTTGCGTAGGGACTCCCCAGAGGATTAATGAATCTTCTCCTAATCATACTTGGTGTTGGGCTGCTTGCACGTAGCCATGTAATTGTCGGTGAAGACTTTTTTGAGATCATCCCAAGATCGGATGGAATTCTCCCATAGGCTAAGGAGCCAGTTGTTTGCATACTGGTTAAGCATGACGGGTAGATAGTTCGCCATGACGTCTTCATCTCCACTTGCGGCGCTCACAACAATCTTGTACAGAGTTTGCCACTGAGCGGGGTTGGCCTTTTCCATCATAGGTGTTAACACCAAGAACCTTGAAACCCATAGGCCACCGAATGGCTTGGAGCCTTTTAGTGAAGGGGCGAAGTCTGGATGCGCCGATGGGGAGTGGCGCTTGACGGGTAGCAAACCCCTCATGTTTGGCGTCAAATTGTTGGCGATGCTCCATCTCTGCTTTGTAGCGTGCGGACATGCTGTTTTCGATGTGGCCACAGACATTTGCACCAGCGTTGATGTGATCACGAAGGTCGCGAGGGAGGGGTTGATTGACCTCCTAGTTACGGTTGCTGCCTTGACCTCCCTAGGGGGGGCGGTGGGCGGCCGTCGTGGCATGAATGAGCTTCATAGTTGCATCTAGATCCTCTATAGAGGTAGGGACCTCCAGCCTAAGGTCGAGGGCCCTCGACGCCTGATGCTGGCCTCCTTCATCGTGGCAGGAGCGGCAGCTTTGACTGATGCGGTGGAATAAGATAGGGCGTCGTTTTTTAACTCGTTGACTTGGACTTGCGCTGCTATGATATGTGCTCGGACCTTCTCGGCCTCTGGAGTGTGAGGGAGTTTGTCGAGCTCATTGAAAGTGACGACTAGATTGGCGCTTGGAGTCTGGTAGACTGGCAGGTCACCCACCAAGTCAAATGCCTCCTCCTGATTACGTTGATGGTGGGGCGTGCCACAACCATCCTCATTGTCCCCTTAGGCTGCTTCTGCATCTCGGTGACGTTGGCGATCGGCGTTCTTCGCTAGACGAGCTTTCGCGCTCTTCAGCGGTTTCACCATCCTTGGTGACGCTGTCGTAGCTGACGTGGAAAATCATGCCCCGAACCCCGGATGGAAAGTAGGGCAGCTTGATACGGTCTTGGTTGAGCCCTCGAAATAATCATCGGAGCTCTCGTTCATAACATTGTGGAGAGATTTGATCGGAAGAGAGGGACCATCCGAGAGCTGGTGAACATCCACCATGTTGACCACGGGGGCGGGCAGACCGAGTCAGTTGGGTCGATCATGTAGAGGTCGGTGACATGGTCACGCTCGACGTGGTCGATAAAGAGGTGGTGGATGGCGTTCTGGTACACAGATCCCGCACCCCTAGCCCAAAGGGATAGGGCTTTAGTGGGTCCTCCATCGAGGCCTCGTAGTCGACCAAACGTAGGCCGGTAGCGGGAAGTTGTCGGCGCCGCGCCGTGCGCCTCTCTGAAGCGACCGTGATCACCAGATCGGAATCTAGCCGCTTTGAATGATGTGGCCAAGCAGGTCGCTCGGTTGTATTGGCTTGGTGATCTTGGAGTACGGGAAATTCGTCGCTTGCTCTAGATTGATCTAAGACCGAATCCACGAGGAGCTGACATTCCGTTAAGCGGTTTGTGACCCGATCGATCGATGCGATTAGATCATCATTGCTGATGGATCTCCTAACCCAGCGGCGGGGCGCCGGGATCGGAGATGTCGTTGCAGGTGTTGGCGCGATCGGCGTAGGGTGATCCTGCACCGCCTCCACAATCTCCCCGTTGCTGTCGGGACCGATGACCCATGTCATGGATACGTCCGTGAAGATCTGGCCTGGCTAGGGAAATGCCATGGAGCTTGGGAAGGTGACCATTTGGTTCGCCGTGAATTCAGCACGCACACTCTGTACCTGGCGTGCCACTATCGACGAAATACGTTCGGCAGTCTACCGAGAGGTATGCCCACGGTAGTAGATGAATCGGTGGAGGTGCGTGTGAGGAAACCGGATGGTGACACCGAACGCAAGAGACAGTGATTAGACAGGTTCAGGCCGCCGACTTGGCGTAATACCCTACGTCTTGTGTCTTTCGGTGGGTTGTATTACGTATGATCAGATGAAAACGAGGGGAGTCCCTACCCACCTTATATAGCCCGGGGGTAGAGTTACAGATCAGTTGTTTCTATCCTGATCGATTTTACAAGATGGGAAATTACAGATATTACGAGATCTAGCATATCCGAGTAGGTTTTCTAGATTACCGAAGATCTTCACACAGTCTTGCGAGGCACGCCGACCTGTGTCGTGCTTCGCATGGCGTTGTCTTGTAGGCTGGGCCTCCACTAGTGGCGTGGCCCATGCTCAGTCTTGTGGGCCGGACTACCCCTAGCGGCTCGGCGCATGGACAACCTTGTTAGTATCAGGGGTTATACCTCCACTGTTGGATTGGGAAAAAGCCTTAATCCACCCATTATTTGCCTCATCCATTTGCCAAACACCACCTTGGGTAATTTAGTATGTAGTTGTGCAATTGAGAAATTAGGGGCTGACAGTTTGATAATTTAACATGAGATATCTGATCTCTCTTTTGACATGATTTAAACAATCCAACTCTGATCTATATCGGGCAAAAGCGTGTGGAGGTTCATAAATCAGTGTACGGTATCAGCAATGTGAAAGTAATGACATCAACAGTAGACCAATTCTTCTGTTCAAATCTAAGGGCCTATTTGGAACGCAGGAATTTCACAGGAATCGCACAGGAATTTCATAGGAAGGGTTTAATTTCAGTGTACGATATCAGCAGTGTGAAAAAAATCCGCATTCAAAATAGGCCCAATTCTTCTATTCAACTCGGATTGAATTTAATAACCCAAAATAAACAAACTGGAGAAATCTGTGTAAGAGAAAACTATTCTTAGCCATAAAAAAAAGTGGATCAACTGGAATCGAACTTTTAAGATAACGGGAGCCTAAGTTGACCTAATAACCCAAAATAAACAAAACTTGCATCTCGGTAATCGAAGTGTTATTCTTAGCCATTCATCAAGCATCAACTGGCATCGAACTTTTAAGATACCGGGGCAATATGTTGCTTTTTTTTTGGTCCAGCGGATTACAGATTTTGGAGCCTTGGCATCAAAACCAAACGTTTTATTTGGAGAAAGATTAGCCAAGTTTTGCATTTTTGCTGGAAAAAAAAATCCAAATCCCTCTACTCGTCCAGCCGCGCTCCTGCCTTCCCAAACCCCAGACCCAAAATTTTGAAACCCCAATCCCCAACGCCTTCCGCTCCCCGTGCGCCCGAGCACCACCAGATCCCCACGGCCGCCAAGGCACCCCTCCTCCTCCTCATCCTTGCACGCACGCCCCCTCCCATGCCCGCGGCGTCAGAGGCCGTGGGCGCCCCCGGCGGCGGCGGCGGCGGCGGCGGAGACGTTGAGCAGGAGTACGAGATCCGCAACGACGAGGGCTTCGTCTACAAGGTCGCCAGAGGGCTCTACCCGGACGCCGCGCCCTCCTCCTCCCAGCCGGCGGCGGGCCCCGACCCCGAGGCTGCCGGCCTGCGCCGCCGCCGCCGCGCGCTCCTCCGCCTCCGCGACAAGCGCCTCCGCGACCTCTCCCGCTGGGAGGCCCTCGCCTCCGAACTCCTCGCCCCGCTTCCCGCTCCGCAGCCACCGGCTTCCCCTCCCACCTCGTCCCATCCCGAAGCTGCCGCCGCTGCCTCCTCCTCGTCCCATCCCGTCGCCGCCGCCGCCGCCGCCTCCTCCTCGGCCTCCGTCCTCGACGACCTTCTCGCACAGGTAGGTCGCCTGGCTTGCTCAACCCCTTCTTCCACCTTTCCTACTTCAGATTAAGATTAGTAACTTTCCCTGGCTACGGGTGGCTGTGCAGGTTGAGACGCAGACAGACTTCTTGAAGAAGGCTCGGCAATGGTGCGACGAGGCCAACGCGCTGTGCGACGCTCGTGAGGCAGCCATCTTTGATTCGATTGTTCCGCCGTTGTGGGGCGGCAACCCAAAGGAGCTAATGGTGGGGTTGTGCAGTCCAGAAGAAAATACTGCCTCTGGTACTAAAAATTAGGCACTTACCTAATTTAAATTTGCACTTTTAGAATACGACTAGTGACTGTCTAGTAGGCACACGCTCTTGAAAAGGTTCACTGGTGGTATTACAACTGAATTGTTAGATCGGGAAAGTTTTAGCTTTTCCATATTCACAGTTTTTTCCTGGTACTACTTCCATTGGGCATTGAGGTTTTGCCATCTTTGTGTCCATGATCCTGAGTAACAACCTGTGACTTTGAGAACTGATGCAGTTTAGAAATAGGAAATTCAGTTTTACCTCTGAAAAATCACCCAGCTGGGACTTTACCGCTGAAAGTGCTTATATTCATTTAAATACCACCCAAAGGTCTATGAGGATTTGTCATTTTTAAACCTCTGTTAGTCTTTAACACTTGTCAGACGCCAAGATACTAATGCTATTGCTGGCCAAGCTACCACGAGCTATACTTCTGGTACGTTGACAACAACAATCACAGTTAGACTTGCCACTCATCAAAATCTTTAAACTTTGCTAAGGGCTTCAAAGCATCTGAAGTTTGTGAGCTCTGATGGTACATGTGAGCATGTGAATAAAATTTAGACCAACTGAGAAGTGACTCAGTGAGGGAAATGAGCTGCAAGTTCTGAGTTATGGTGAGGGGAATGAGCTCCTACTTTAATTGGTAAATGAGAACCACTACAGGCTGCAGCAGATGATGGCCTTGTTTGGCCAGAAGATCCAGAGTTTGTAGATACAACATTTGGTCTCTCTAGAGATGTGAATTATAGTGAGGAAGAGCAGCATCACCGAAGGGAAAAGCAGGATGCTGCTGCTGTAGATTTTGATCTGAAATGGTTGCTAATGCCTTGTGCTTATGCTGTATAAGCTCCTCACACCATATATGACGAGACATCTCAGAAATTGACAAGGGCTCCACATTTGCTGATATTTGATGCTATGTATCAAGCAAAGTGCCATCAAAACAGAGTTTCCATCCAAAATATTGCATAGAGATAATGGGTGGCAGCACGTTCGTCGTGAACGTAGGCCTTATTTTTGCTCATTATGCAATATTCACCACTACTCCCTCCATGCCAAATTATAAGTCGTTCTGGCTTTTCTAGATACTTAGTTTTTATTATGCATCTAGACAGCCTATAGCTAGATGCATAGCAAAAACAATTTACCTAAAAAAGCTAGAATTACTTATAATTTGGAAAGGAGGGAGTACTTTTGTTGTGATGGTTACTGCTACTTCTTTTTTTATTTAATTCGTCTTGTTCTTTATGTAGGTAACTTGGATGAACAGAATGGGCCCCAAGAAGCTTCCGGAGTGTCTTCAGCAGCAGCTAAAATGAGAAAAAATAGTATCAAGAAACAGAAAGTGGGTCATGACCTTCCTCCTCCCATTCTCAGTGAGAGCAGGTAATCTAAAACTTTGCAAAGAATTTCGCTCCTTACTGCAACAATTGGTTATATTGTTCACATGTTTTTGATTTGTTACATTGCTCACTAATATGCAGGATGAGGAAAAGAGTAACTAATCTTTTAGGCTCCAATAATGTTGCATCACAAAACTCTGTTGAACCAAAGAGGTTTGACCAATGCTGGCTCCCAAATCCTTATTTTACATTTTCATTTGCCCCTGACATGTTGCACTCTACAGAATGACTTGAATAAGAACTTTTTCCTTGGCAGGAAGAAGGCATCAGGGAGTACATCTACTGCCCGAGGCACTCCAGGATCAGCGTCGAGAAGGAAGGCAGAGTCGACTCCAGCAAGAGCTCCAGACATTGTTTGTAGCCCGGGGCCACTAACCAGGAGAAGGGCAGCAGCTAAAAATGAATCACCAGGAGGTTCATAATTGGCAGCACTTATCGAAAAGCCAAAATGTCTTGTAATTTGGATTGGAGGGACTAGGGAAGGAGTATGTGTTTGTACACAAGTGTTGTTTGCTGCTGATGTACCTAGAAGATCCAAAACAACTTATGATTTGGAATTGAGGGAGTAACTTATTCTTTTGCTGGTGATGTTACCAGTTTAGCCATTAACTGTCATCTTGTGTATTTGAGAAGTTCCAGCTGCAGATGGTATTTATTAGTGTGCAATCAAGTATTGCTGTATTGGTAGTGAGTTGTTCACATAAGTGCATGACTGCTCCTTGGAAACACTGATCAAATGGCTGTTAGTTCTCTGAAATTTACACGACATGCTGACAGTGTATTCTATGTTTGAAGTGGAAGCTACTTGTGCTGTTGTATTTCTCAACTCCAATCGGACTTGCCTGTGATCTCTGAAAACGCAACGCACAATTGGAGGCGTTTCAGAACATAAGGACTAACTAGCGTTGGAAGCTTAGGCATTCCATGCTGAGTTCTAGCACCGTGCTAAATGTGTATCATGTATATGAGGTAAATCAGTGCTTTTTAACACTGAGGATGTGCTTTTTAACCTGGGACTATTTGTAAGCACACCCATAAATCATAAGGGCACTCTCAAGTCCTAATATAGTGTAGACGTCTAGTTTTCATAGTACGTTATTGTTTTGCTGACGCTTTGCTGAAAGAAGAGTTAAAAGATGAGATTGATGGAAATCGTTTCCATTCCCTCGCTTCAGGATCCGTTGTACCCTTCCTAGTCCGCCGCCACAGCTCCTCAACCCGCGTGGCCTTCCCGTTTTCTCATCCCCTGCGTGGGCGATTTTTTCTTTATTTTTAACACTTTTTATAACTATTTTCCAAATTTGACATTGTTTTTTTTTAATTTTTAAATCTAACACTTTTGGCCGCGCATATTGTCCTAGAGCGGCCAAACAACCCTGACGCGATAGAGCGGATGACGTGGCAGCGACCGGGCCGCTGATTGATGACGTGGCCTGCTCTGCCGCGCCATCGCGCAAGGCGCGGCAGGGCCGACTTAATGTCGCGCCGCAAGCCTCCCTCCCTCCCACCTCTCCCAAGGCCTGCCGCCGCCCGGCCCTCCCTGCCCGCCTCCCTCCCCCCTTCCCCCAAGCTTCTCCTCGGCCTCGGTCACGGTAATGATGCTCTTATTTGTCGTTTGAATGGTGGATTCAAAGATTATGAATGGTAGCTAGGGTTTGGAGGATAAGTATAATTGGAAACTATGGGCTAGGGTATGGAGGAAAATATTAATTTGATTTTGTCAATGTTAAGGTTAATTAGTTAGTTAGAAGCATGCTAGCATGTTTAGTGTAAGGTATATTTTTGTTCCTATAAGTGTCGGTTATATTTTTTTAGTTGTAATGCAAATGGTTCTCCTTTATATTAATTCACGATGTTTTGATTGATGTTAAATTACAACCGTTTTATTAAATGCAAGACATGTATCGGGAGCAGTTGTGACGAAAATGGGGTCGTCCGGTGCGTCTTGCAAAGATGCCCCCGTCTCTCCTGACCTCCCTGTCCCCCTACTGTGATTGTGGTCGTCCAGCCGACGCATTTCAATCGAGACATCCAGACACAGCTGTGTGTTGCTTCTATACATGTAGTTGTTTTAATGGTAATTCATTCGTTATCTTTTTTCTTCATTTGTGTTAGTAGGTTACTAATATTTTGTTGGAATATTGTTGTGTAAGACCATGAGAGGTGCCTTTTCTTTCAATGGATCGACGGTCCAGACAAGTTTGACCCAAGGTACCTCCTTTTCGACGATTTGTGACGAGGGAGACATCCACGTGAGCACTTTGAGTGGTGGTGTCGGGTTTATAAACCCGGAGTCCCTCATGGACCAGCTTTCCAACAAAGGCTCGGCCCAGCAGACGACGTTGCGAACGACGTGCAACTCATGGGCCGGCCCAAATACCTAAACGACAGGCCAGAAGGGCAACCCAATCTCCGACCGGAAGATCTGGCCGAGGAGGAACGACGCCCACTTCCGACTCCGGCATGCCTCTCCAACCGGAAGGCCTCGCTTAGGAGGAACATCGCTCGCTTCCGACTCTGGCCCGCCTCCGGACAGCCTCTCCGATCGGAAGGCCTGGCCAAATACCACTTCCGACTCCGACCCGCGTCTCCAAACCAGGGATGCACCGAATCCCTGCTCATAGCTCTTCTTCAACTGGCGCAATCAGAGCCGACTAGGACCAACCGATCGGGAACGCCCGCTCGGTAAGGACCAGGAAACGGACGGAGAAAGTAAGGCAGGGCACTCAAGTCAACTGCAATACCAAGGACCGTACCCTGTACACCTACAGGACAGTACCCTGCGACCGTTCTGGCATAACAGAACCCAAGCAGTGTTGTAGGCGTCGACATTTTCCCTACAGTATTATGGGCACCATCAATGCCCATACAAGACAAACACGGTAAGGCTCCCCCACATGCCTCTGGGCATCAACAGTATTATGGGCGCCGACATTTTCCGTACTAGGCGAACATGGTAAAACCCCCTACATGCCTCTGGGCATCAACAGTATGGCAGGCACCGACGTCTACCATACCAGAAGAAGACGAAAAAAACCTCCCACGTGCATCTGCCATTAAACAGTATTGTGGGCGCCTACCATTATCTGGTACCCGCCGGCGTGGGCAACAAGACTTAGTAGCATACGTACTCTCTCTCTCACTTGTAAGGCCATCCCCTTCATCTATAAAAGGGGATGCACTCTCTCCCAACGGACAGATCCCTAGTTCACTTACATTGATTCACCCTCTGTAACTTTAGACACTCTAAAGCTACACAGAGCACACGCTCGAACACTTAGCACATAGCGGAGCTCCCTTCACTCTCGGCCCTTCAGACCAGAGTCCGACTAGACCTCTTGTACCCCCATCTTTTTCCCTTCCGTTTGTAACCCCATAGCAAACTTCGAGCACCTAGGCTTAGGAATAAAGTCACCGACCGACTCAAACTGGACGTAGGGCACGTTGCCTGAACCAGTATAAACCCTGTGTCATTGAGTGCTAGGCCACCTCCAATCATAACGTATAGCAAAACTACAAATATTTACGTGTTGGTCACTTTCTACACCGACAGTTGGTGCCGTCCGTGGGGAAGATGCTGTACGTTCACACTTTTGGTCATCGGATGGCACACTTTTACGCCACCTTCGCCGTGGCGGGCTCAAGCGATATGACTTGCTTTGGCTCGCTGGAGTTTTCCGCACTCCCACCTATTGGGATGCGGGTTCCACCCATCTTTGAGCCGTCCCAGGCCTTCCTTTTTGGAAGCCTGGACTTCATCGCCAACCGGCTCGGTGTACTACACCTCCGCGAGGAGGCACTTATTTCGGCACCCGTCGAAGGGGCGCCCTCCATCGGCTCTGGGACACACGACGACTTCAACGATGAGGCACCTGCGTTTCAATCTGAGCAAATGCTCTGCTCAAACCCCGTTGTGAGTAATGTACATGCTGTTATTTACTCGCTATTTACTATCTCTCACCGATTATCCGAAGGGACTGCGTTGTCTGCACCGCGACCACCGTACGACTGGTTCCCCTACGACGTCGTGTCCCTCGTGGACGCGTGCGCTCGGGGGCTCCGAAGGACGCTGGCACCGCCCCCTCTCACGTTCAAATTCATGGGAATGGTGAGCTATGCTCCCACCTGTTTCCTTGACCTCATGGATGATGATGTCGAGAGTGACGGCTCTAGCATCGGCGACGTGGCACCTAGCCACCATCCGTCCTGGGAGTGCGCTATGGCAGACGCTCTGGGATAGCCACCGGTGGTAGCGGAGTCCTTGCAGACTCACACCCCTCCGGATCCTCCTACGGGGGCCCTCCGGCTCGCACAAAAGCACGACGAGGAGCTACGACAACGGCGGCAGAACCAGCCGCCACCTGCGCCAGTGAGCTCGGCGCACCATGCTACCTCCCGTGCGCGTGACCCGACTGGCGGCGCCCGGGGTCATGCCCGTCTGGTCCAACGCAACATCATGGATGGGGGGAACATCGCCGCCGCGTCAATGCTTTTGCGCGGTCTTCCTGAGCCGAACACCCCCTAGGAACAGGCGATCCACCGAAACCTCCGGGCACTGGTGGAAACCGCCACCGTTCAACAGGCGAAGAGCTCCACATCACGACGCCGACTCACGACCTCTCTCCCCACTAGGGGAGTGGGGACGCACCAGATGAATCGCTCTGCTCACTCACCGCTACAGCCACCGAGCGCGGCATAGGAGGCCACATCTGCGCCCCGGCCGGACCTGGCGCTCGCTTTGCCCCGACCGCCTGTACGCGAGCGGCTCAGGCCAAACCGAGACGCTCGCAGCGCCATAAGCAACTAGCGTCGGTCTCGGCATGATGATGATGTCCATCGAGCGATAGTGATGGGAGGCAACACAGACCCTGGCCGGACCACCGCGAGGAGTGGTGAAACGCACCGCAGGCGCGGTCGCCGGCCGGACGATCGGAGTCCCAGCCCGGATGGCCCGGGACCACGGGCCCTTGACCGACGCATCTAGAGAGCACCATTCCCATAGCGCTTCAACGGAGGCCGAGACAAAGGCAAAGCCAAGCATGAGGATCAGGACGAGGGCCCCTCCACGCAGAGGGGCAAAAAGAACAAGAAAGATTGTCGTCGATCGGCCAACTCCACGTTGGTCGCCGCGGCTGATCACACGGGCAAGCAGCCCCAGCAGGGCCTGCCGGACCACTTCCATGAGCTCATGGAGAGCCCATGTACCAACCATGACTACCCCATCAAACACCTCTACAAGGACTGTGAGCTCCTCAAGCGCCTTGCGACAGGCCGGTGGGCCGAAGGAAGAAAAAGGCAAAGAGGCAGCGGCCAAGAAAGGGGGCGTAGCGGGCAAGGATCCGGATGACTGAAGGTCCCTATACGGCGACCAAGGTGATCCGATCGGGCACCTACTGACTGAAGGACGACAATGGCAACGTTC